CAGCCAGCCCTCTGCTGAATTAAATCTCTATGTCCCTATGCCCAAAAGGTGTACTGTGGCACCTGATCTGTGTATACATCCACCTTACTCACTTCTCTTTAACTTCTTGAGATCAGGATGATGTTTATTTGCTCATTGCCTCAGACTGTGTAATGCCATGAATAGATGAATGATTCAACACAGGGAGTTGACTACCTGTCAAGTGTTATGCAAGATAGGTACCCTCACATATAAATCCAAGCTTTCAAATAGTCATTATTTATTCAACAAACATTACCTGAGCACCCATTATAGACCAGGTTTCATCTTAACCAAAGGACAAATAGGAAAAAAGACAAGAGTTCATTCCTCTGGAAACTCACAATGTAATAGGGAAGACCCTTTTTCTCATATAATTTTTTTCTTTAAATTAAGATATAGTTCAAATACCATAGCTCAATAGTAGAGCACCCACCTGGGGTTGATCCCCCAGCACCACAAAAATAAATGTGCACTTAAGTGGTTTTTAGTACATTCACAATATCATGCAGTATCACTGCTAGACAGAACATTTATCTGCATGAATGAAGCATTGCACATATGCTGGTGCCAAGTCAGAGGGAGGGGAGGAGTTTACTAGGGGAGGAAATGCATTCCAGGTAAAGGGAGCAGTATGTGCAAAGGGACAGAATTATTCCAGGGAGGGGACAATACACGTGAAGGGGCAGAGTTCTAAGATGGCTCAGGATTAGGAAAATATGAAAAGGGCAGGGGACCTGGAGTTTATTGTGAGGAAATGACTGGGCTATTTTACAAATGAGAAATCTGAAACCCAGAAAGGTAAACTAACTCAACTGAGGTCAACTGCTCTTATATCAACTCAACAGAAGGTATCTAAGGGACACCACTCTCCCACCAAATATTCCTAACATACATGCAGGTATTGACCATCTAGAAATTACTTCCATGTTGGTTTTGTCCCAGCCTTCCAGTAAATAGGCTTCATCTTCTCTTCCAATTCCTCACATTACATACAGGTCCCCATTATGTTCAGGAAAAAAAAAATTCCCCTGTGGTTTTGTAGATTCAAAAAGTTAAGACCACTACATAGTGCCATCAGAAGATACTCTGACCATGGACAGAAATATCCTAGTCATGAAAATTCAAGATGAAGATTTAAAATTTCATGGACTCTCGGGCTAAAATGTTTTCCAAGTGCGTTCCAAGACCTCTGTGTGACCATGAAGAAGTTCTTTTGCTTTCCTAGGGCTTCAGTTTTCCTAACTGCAAAGTGGGATTAAGAAATCATATCCCACCTATTTTACCACCATCCTGCCCAAAAGAATCACTGGGAAACCATGAGGTTCTATATTGTCTTTGAAACGCTTGAGCAAAAGGTTAACACATGCTTCAAAGAGTAATCTGTTTACATGTTAATACTAATATCTCTACCAAATGTCTCAGTAAACTTTAATAAAATCTTGGCTTACTAGGTTTCATTTCAGCTCTTTGGTGAGGGATGAGGTAGGCAAACTCAAGAGAAAGCAGGTAAAAAGGAAGTTTTTTCAGGCAGGAGCAATAACTTGGCATTTGGAGGCTGTCCCTATCGCGCCCACTTCTTCCCTAAGCAGAAAAGATATATATACATACATATATATATGGGGTTTTTTTTTTTAGTACTCGCAGATTTTATCACAGGACAGGGGTAGCAGCAGTAGTCTAATCCAACCTACTCTCACCTGCTTTTCCAGTCCAGGAGGAGGATGGGAGGCTCATTGCCCAGCAAGGGCTATGCTGAGAAGGGAAGAACTAACAGGGCAGGCCCAAGGACACAAACTATGTACAAGGACTAGAGCTTTTGCCCCAGGACCCTCTGGACGAGGGAGGCAGGCAAGGCAGGGCATGCAGTCTCAGTGGTCCTGTACCCAACTGTTCTCAGAGACAAACACATTGATGACCTCCTTCATGATCAGATTGGGGATGAGCTGTTCTTGAGTCAGAGGGGCTCCAGGTCACAGGGTCAAGGTGGCTCAGGCACTGTAGGTGCTCCTCAAGGTCCTAAAGCAAGTGCTTTTCATCATGCTTATTGTTTTTTTTTTTTTCCTTCTTTTTTTGGGGGGGTTGGTAATAGGGTTTGAACTTAGGGCTTTATACCTCTTCCACCTGAGGACTCTCTACCACTTGAGCCACACCTCCCCCTTTTGTGCTTGTTTTGGGTATTTCTAAGATAGGGTCTCATGAGCTATTTGAACTGAGATCCTTCTGATCCAGGAGTAGCTAGCATTACAGCCATGAACCACTGGTGCCGGGCTTTAACATCTTTTTCTGCAGCACCATGAAATGCCAGCAGATTGGCAAAACACCAAGTAAAGAACAGCTACTTCACAGGAAAAAAAAGTTTGGAAGTGACCCTGGTGGCAGGGTAAGAAGAGTCCACCAAAAGCCACCTCTGCTAAGAGTCCTTATATGATGTCTGTTGCCCACTAGGGCATCCATGTTAATACACTTATGGTTTTGCAATAGCATCAAGTAATTGACATGTCTGCAAATATACAATCAAAAACAATTCTACTAACTTTTCAGAGCAATGAGACTATCCCTGTCACTCTGTAGCTTTGATTCACTGTAATTAAATAAGCAAACATGCTGTCCTGTCACACAGTTAGGACCATACCAAGTAGGGGCTTTTGTGTGTAAATAATCTGAAGATAGTTGGCTCCCCATCTGCTGTGGTTCTTGCACACACAGTTGTTCCATTTGTAATTTTCCTTCACATTTAATAAGGAAGCATCCATACCTAGTTTATCTATTAGTTCAGAGAAACAATGGCAAAATTTATTCCAACTACTGGAGCAGTAAAATCCAATTCCATTTCTAGAGAGGAGAAAATATGTGAGTACCTGAGACAAAAGACAAGTAACTGCAAATGTCTAGATGGGAATGGGTTCAAGATTCTCTCCTCTGGACCCCTAGTTACTTAAGAAGCTCTCTTTCCCTCAAAATAAAGTATTTTAAAGCTCAGAAGTTCCTGGGGGTAAAGAACTGAAACAAGCACTCAATGTGGGTCTGTGTTTCAACACACTACTTAGGTATCCTTTACCTTTACGTAGTCCTTGTAACAGCCCTGCAAAGGTTGATTGTTTTACCTCCTTTTTAATAGATGAAACTCAGACTCAGGTATGTTGGTTGAAGCGTCCCAGGTCACACAGCTGGGGCAGGGAGGAGGAAGATCCGCGGTCTGAGCAGATAGGCCCGCCACCATTTCTCCTCCCCACCACCAAAAAAAAAAAATCACCAGGGAGTATGCGCAGAAGATACATAATCCAACAAGCCACGCTCTGAGACAAGGAAACTAAGAAAGGACTTCACGACCCAGCCAAGACACCCGAACCTGTCCCATCCCACATATGTGGCTTTTCCACCCAGAAACACCGCCCGCCCCCCGCCCCGCCCCAAACTCCAACACTTTTCCAAGCATTCCACCAACTCTTTTATGGCCCTCGTATGTCCAGAGCTTGGAGTCTTCTGCCCTTTAATCTGTGAATCCTGCCATTTTCCTATTTCTGTAGAATTTCAGTTCTTGGATGCGACCAGGCTCTAACCATCAGTCTTCCCACCCCGGAACTTGCAGCCCGCCTCCAGTCTGCCTGGCTCCTTCCCCAGCTGAGGGGCTCGGACTGTTCTCATCCCAACCCTGCCTCTTCCGTCGGTCACGCTGTTTCCTCAGCTTGGAAGGACCTCTTTCCTCTCCCGGCCCTTCCCAGTGGTAGAGGAATTCCTACACAGCCTGTGCGCCACCGCTGCCAGCCACCCTCGCCTCCTTTCACGCAGGCTCGGCAACTGAACCCGGCCGTGCAGCCTAACAGCTAGCGTGCGTCCTTGCGGCCGCAGTCCCTGCCTCCTCCACGTTCGGTTCCCCACCGCCACCTGGCCGCGCAGGGGCCGCCCGGGAAGCCCTCGGCACTTCCCAGAAGAGAGAGCAGCTGCCAACGCCAGGCTGTGGTCCGCCGCGGGGTTCCCGACGCGCGGGATCTCAGCAGAGTGGACTGTGACTTCTGTGGCCTTTTGCCTTCCGTCACGGGTCGGGAAACTGAGACCCTGAGCCAGGAGCAACTTTCCTGGGGCGTGTGGTCCGTGAGGGCCCGCCCGGGTGTGGGCGTCCCACTCCGGTCCACAGCCCTTTGACCACACGCGCCGCCCGTTCTTGTCGGAGAGCTGCGCGGGGAGCGGGTCTCGGAACGAGCGCACCGCCCGGGAACGCGCAGGGAGCCCGTCTCCGCCAACCCGCCGCGAAAGTTGTCTTCCAGCCTGCCCTCGTCTCTCACCTTCGAGACACACCTTCTCGCTGGCCCTGGCAGCCGCGCACTCACATCCGGTCCACCTTGCGCACACCCCTCTCTCCACGCGCACTCGCAGCCCCTCTCCCTCCCACGCCTGCGGCTCTCAGCCGCTTCCCCGCACCCCCTCGCGCGCTACCACCCGCGCTCCGGGCGCGCCTGCCTCGCTCCGCCGCTCGCCCGGCCTCGCCGCTGCGCCCGCCCGGGGTTCCGGCGTCCGGAATCCTAGTCCAGGGCCGCGACCCGCTTCCGTCCGCCGCGAGCGGGGCAGGAACCCCAGTAGGCGCGCCGGGCGCTCGGCGCGCTGGGGGCGCGAGGCGAGGGGCGCAGCAGCGCGGGGCGGGGAGGGGGCGCTCGCTCACTCTCGGCCGCGCACACGCCCGTACAAACTCTCTCACAGAGACACGCGGGGTGCGCTGCCGCCGCCCGCCGCTGCTCCTCCTCCCGCCACCGCCTTGAGAGGGAGAAAGAGAGCGAGGCAGAGAGAGCGCTTTGTCCGCGCGCCGCCGCCCGGCCCGGGACTCTGCCCCGAGGAGGCAGCCGCGCCGAGTCCCCGCCTCCGCCTCTGCCCCCGGGCGGGCCGGGCCGGCCGCGGTGGGGGGAGCCAGGCTGAGGGTGAGGGTGGGGGTGGGTGGCGGGCGGGCGGAGGGCGGGGAGGGGGGGCGGAGGAGGAGGAGAGACGAAGGCAGCGGAGGAGGCGAGGAGCGCCGGGTACCGGGCCGGGGGAGCCGCGGGCTCTCGGGGAAGAGACGGATGATGAACAAGCTTTACATCGGGAACCTGAGCCCCGCCGTCACTGCCGACGACCTCCGGCAGCTCTTCGGGGACAGGAAACTACCCCTGGCGGGACAGGTCCTGCTCAAGTCTGGCTACGCCTTCGTGGACTACCCCGACCAGAACTGGGCCATCCGCGCCATCGAGACCCTCTCGGGTGAGCACTCAGCGCTGCCCCCTCCCCCGCCTCGTCCGGCTCAGGCCGGGACGGCTCCCGCAGGGAGGCCGAGCCTGGCGGGCGGCGCCCGGCAGGGACTCCCGTCTCCGCACGCTCACTTCCACGCACCAGACCCTCAACTCTCGCCGCTGGCCCGCTCCTGGGACGGCCCGCTCCCCTCCCCCCACACCTCGGGGCTCACCCCTAGTCCTTCGGACCGCACCCCTGGGGCGCCCCCAAACCCTTGCGAGGGTCTCTGGGGCTCGCTTGCTCTCTGGAGACACCCCTGGTGCTCCGAACTGCTCTTCAGAGGTCTCCCCCACCCCACCCCACCCCCACCCTTCCAGAGTCTCCTGTGCCCCCTGTTCCCTGACCTTCCTGTCATCCCCCCATGCCAAGGACCCCCCCAAATCCGGCATCATCTTCTCTTCTGGCTGGACCTTCCTTCTTCCCATGCCTCGTGCCCAGGACCTCTCCCGCTGTGGCGTCCCCTGAGCCGCAGTCTCCTTTGGAGCCCCCTCCCCACCTTGCCCTGCAGCCCCCCACTTTCGGCACCATCCTGATGGTCCCTTCGAGGTCTCGGGGCTCCCCCAACCCAGACCCTACATGACCGCACAGCTCCCTCGGTCCTCTCCCGAAGCTCAGTCCCCTCTCACTGGTCTCAAGCGCTCCTATTTTTCCCTGAATTTTTTGTCCGATTTTATTGAGAAGAACTCGGGGCTGGGGGCTTTCCACCGCCCGTCCCCCCGCCTCCCGCTCGGCCAGAAGCACCTTTTTACGAGGTGCCCTGTCTCAACTCGGTGGGGGCCCTGGCTGAGAACCGGGAAAGAGGCGACCGGGGGGCCCGCGAGCGCGCTGGAGCCCAGACGGGAGTCGGAGAGCGACACACACACACACTCGCGCGCGCGCGCACTCCCCAACTCTCCCTCCCGCACACGCACCGCTCGGAGCCGCGCTCGCCCCCAGGCCCCGGGCCTGCGGCCCCCTACCCGGCCCAGCCGGAGCCCCTTCCTCAAGGGCGCGTGGGGTGGGGGCGGGGCGGGGCGGCGACGAGGCCAAGGTGACACCCAGAAGCGGGCAGGGACCGGGGCTTTCGCAGCAGCTGACCCGGGGGGCTTCTGCGCGTCTTCTCGGGGCCACCAGGAAGGGAGGGCAGGGGGCAAGCGCAGCAGAGCCTGCGGGTCCCGGGTTAGCGGAATGGAGAGGTGGGGGCCGGGAGAGGAACGGGGCCGCGCCAGCCCTGCAGCTTGAGTTTCAAATGAGCTCATCCTTTCAAATTGGCGCCGCTCTTTATTAAATTTGTTTTTCCGGTAATGCCACCCACAGCTATACCTGGGGTCGGAACCGGGCTCGCACCCTTCCCACCTCGTGCGGAGACCCGAGGCACCCACCTTTCTTCACACTGGGTACTAAGTTCGCCTGGCTGGAGCCGAGTGGGAGACCCCTTGAGGGCGCCCGAAGGCGGAGCCCGAACGTGGAGTTGTGTGCGTGCCCCTACTAGACCCCCGCGAATTTGATCTCGGGAAGGTTCTGAGTGCTTTAAATTTCTGTTTTAAAGGTAAAGTGGAATTGCATGGGAAAATCATGGAAGTTGATTACTCAGTCTCTAAAAAGCTAAGGTAAATATACTTCGCTTAGATTTTTTTTTTTGCGATTGATTTTATGTATAAGTAGAAAAAATACACTTAGCTTTTAAAACGTGTCCTTATAGTTTTAAAAAAAGACTTGATTGTTTTCTTAGAGGAGATACATAGTTTATAAAGTTACCATTTTTTTTTTTTACTTTCATTATATAAGGTGTTTACTGTGCTTAGAAAATATCTGGTGTGTAATTGGGGGTCCAGTGGAAGAACCTAGGTAGGTTCAGTTGTTTGGGGAGGGTTAACTTGTTTATCATAAATTGCCTCCCACCCCAAACTTCCCACTCCCACTCCTATCCCCAGCACAATGGCAACAAATGCTTGTCAAGACTTCCTGTGAGATGTTAAGAGTAAATATTTACTGTGTCAGCTGAATTGCTTAACTAAACTACGCGATTAATTACTTTTCTTTTTTCGATAATCTAATGTTGAATAATAAAATAATTCAATAAGGAGTCAGTATTTTGCAGACTATTCTAAAGAAGTAGGTTGTTTGGATTGGATGGTAGTGAATAGCCAGACTTAGTCACTGAGACAACTGAGTATTGCTCTGAGCACTTTTGTTGTTATTGTTGTTGCTTTTAAGAAATGTTTGAGGCTAAGTAAGTAGCACGGTGAAATCGATAGTTACATTTAAGTGCACTATTGTTGATGAAGGAGTAACAAGTTTTGTGGGGGTTGGATTTCTCCACAGAGATTTGCTAACTTGAGAGTTATCTGTATGAGGAAAGAATGAGGGAAAACATCTTTGTTTCAAGTTTATTGTGGACTTTAAATTTGGGCCCTTTATTACTCATTCTAAACTCCTTTTCTTCCGTGTGTGTCGAAACTTAGTTTATATCCCATTTACATACATTTTTTCATCATTAGTCATTAAGTAGCTGAATTGGAGAGGCTAAGTGAAGTCTTTAATGTACCACCTTTACAATTTGTGATAGTCAACAGGGTAGCCTCATGATTTTTGTCAGAATTGATTTTAAAACAAACTACCTTAATTTTATAAATGCTTGAATGTGTTGTTAAAGAGATTTAAAAAAAAACCTGTGTGCACATTTCCACATACCTCTTAATTTAACTAAATAACAGAACATCTTTTGCTTGCAAATGAGTCTGTGCCATACTAGAAAACCATTTAATGCCTTTTTTGAAAAAGAGGTAAGAGTTATGATTTGCAGTTTCATGTGTCATATTAAGCTAGTTCTTCATTATAAAGATGACATGTGTAACTGGTTTTCAGTATGTATTCTAAATTTGTATACTTTTCTTTAATGTTCTAATAATGTTCAGTAAGTAGTCTAAATTTGTGTACTTTCTTTCATAATATTTTTTACTTGGGAAGTCCAAGTGGAAGTTTTCTGGTATACTAAGTATTTACTGTAAGTATTCATCCCACAGACTTGAAATTTTAGTGAATATATTGAATAATGTTTGAAAGAACCACCCAAAATATTTAATGCACTTTGTTTATATAAATGTCTTTTTCTGTTCTATTGACTGCCTAACTGTTGTGAATCCTTGGGGGGGGGTATAATTAGTAAAAACCAATAGAATTTTAACTTTGTTAGATTTATTTCATGTTGCATTGTACATCATTTAATTTTCAATATAAGTGAAATATTAGTTTACCTAAAGTCATTAACCTCACCTAAAACTTCTCAACAATAGACTGCTTTTTAGCTTTTTTTTTTTTCCTCAAAATTCAGGGATTAATTGCTGTTAGCTGGAGTGTCATTTAAATAATTTTATTCTGCTTATATGAGTTCAGAATTAGAGGTGTGTCCCAAGTTTTTAGTATAAATTAATCAGAGAACAATATAGAACTTATCCAGCCCTTTTAGCTCACAATTTCTTTGAACTTGTTGGTGATATGGAATATCCCAAGAGATAGCTGAAATGTGCTGTGCGATTCACTACACTTGAAGATGGTTAACATACCAAACGTATGCATAGCTGTTGAGCTGTTGCTGGAGGGTGTTGCATCATTTCTGATTGGATGGTTTTAATCTTTTTTCCTTTCCTTTATTAGTTTAAAATGCAGAAATTGGCTATTTGTACTGCAGACTAAGGGAGAGAGAGTTCTGCTAGTATTGTGAACTGAGTTCAGACTCCTGGGAAGAGGCAGCTGTATGTGCTTATGAAGTACTGGGCTGGTGGTTTTCAAAAATCAGGATTCTGTGACATTTGAAAACAAAGCTTTTATATATATGGTGATTATTTTGTTGTTCTCTTGGTGCATTTCTATGTAAATTAGCATGTTATAAGTAAATTTGTGAATGTTAGGTCAGTTCTATATGTGGTTTTTGTGTAGTTGAAGTGAAAATTGGAAGAAAACAATTTATCCTTATTGCTTGCTTACTTAAAAAATGATTCAATAATTAAGTGCTAATTTTCTCTTATTGTGCTTAATTCTTTGATTTCTCTAGAAGCATTTTTACTATCTACATCCCAAGTAGATTTTTTAGGCTAAGAAAAGTTTGGAATATGTTTTAATCTAAACTTATGAAATTATTGGCATGCCACTTGCTTCCCAGTTGGGTCTTTTATTAGGTATCATTCCAGCATCATTTTATATGTGCTGCTACCCGCAGACAGTCTAGATACCACTGTTTTCCCAGAGTCACTCAGAGGTAGAATAGTCTTTTTTTCTTTTTGCTTCATGTGTTTCATTCTTTCTCAATGTAAATTATTATAATGTAAACCACGAACAAAGCATCTATTTCTCTTACTTTCTAAGTGGGTTTCAGTCTCTGCTGAATAAAAATCTTTGGATCTTTTTTCTCTATTCATATTTCTTGGTAATATGGATGGATCAAAGATTTATTGAAGAGGAAAAAAAACTGGTAACTTTTAAAATACAGTTAAAAGTTAAGGAAGCTTCCTTGATAGAAATTTTATTTTGGGTGTTGATAAAAGTTTACTTTAAAAAGTCATTTATATATACATGCACATATATTGCATAAATTGTTTTTAGCTAAGGCATGCTAACTTGAATGTGCTTTTGTAACTAAAGTTGAATGAGTCTGTGAGAAACAAAACTTTGAAAAATGCAATTTCTGCCCACTTGTAGGATGGAACTAAATAATGCTCGATGTGCTTCCACTGTCATGGTGTGAACATTGTGAGGTAGTGTAGGAAAAAAGCTATGAATTTGTCTTTCATGAGTTAAAAATCAGTAATTGTGCTGTCTGCAATGCAAATGAATTTGGTCTCCTATAGGAATGTTAAAGAAAACAGTATCTCAATTGTATTTTGCTTGTATGTACTACATTGTGTATAGTTGAATTAAATACAAAAAAAAAAAAAAAAACCTCAAGCCCTCCCTACAACAAAGGCATTTGCTCCATCAATTCTTAATTTTCTAGAAACAGAGAAGACTTTATTAGGTTATAATCATATGGTAGCCTATTTCAAGAAATTGTTGAGTTAGAAATTAATGCATAGATTTAATTAAGTAGATTCCATGTGTTGATACAACGTATATTAATGGTTACTTTTGATTTGGCTTTGGCGTTGAATGCTTAGTTTCCCATTTTTAAAAACATGAATTTTTTTTTATATTCTAGAGAATACACATTTTTGTGACCTCTAAGAAATAAATATTAGAGTAAAATAGAAGTGATATAGAAAAAAATTACTTGGTAACTTAGGTAATGATGTAGGTTTAAAATTCTGGTTTGTTTTTAGAAGACTAGTCATTTAATTTTTTACATTGTTTAGTTAAGTATTAAAAACTAATGAAATCTACAAAACAAAATAGATTTTATGTTTTGCTTGATTTTTCCAATTCACCAAATACATATGAATTTTAAATTGTAGGTCAACAATTTGTGAAAGTATTTAATAGATAAAGATCTAAGTCTTAATTCTAAAAGATAACATGGTGATATGTCATGCTTGTCCTAAATTGTACTTTTCAATAGTAGCAATCATCTTTCCTTGTAATTATAGCTAATATGACCAGTAAGAGATGGTCTAAAAGTTTGACTTAAATTTACTAGAAAATAAGGGAAGGTTAGTAAAATTTAGACAAAGCCTTTTATACATAATGTTCTAAAGCATAGTACCATACGTTTTCTTTAAGAAATGCTTTTACCTTTTAAAATACTTTTAAAGGAGAACTAATTACATGTCAAAACTGGCATTTCACAATTATTTTGAGTAAACAATTTGTGTGTGTATCTGTAGGTTGCTTCACGTTTTTCAGTGAGTTGTAAAAGAATATATATGATGCTGAATTGAGCATTAAAGGATGATAACTTGGGTTCATTTATTAAAAGCCAAAAAAGCTGTGACATTCAGATTTCTCCTATTTATACATGCTTGATACTTTTAAACTTTCTAAATATTTGCTGTCTACAACTGAATCACTCTCTCAGGTCTGCTAATGCACCCCTCAAAAGTAGATAAACAGTTTGTCAGAGTTGTTAGAGTATATTACTGAGCTCAGTGTCATCTGTCTGATTCACTGGGGTGTGTACAAATGTGTGTACTTTGTGGGGGACAGTAGTTTTAGTCAGATAGTATCAAGAGGGAAGAAGAGATCTTTAATCAAGCAACAGTTGCTCTAAATTTTAGTTTAGACAGGAGTAATGAAAAGTGCTAGGTGACAGAAACTTGTAAAGGGATTTGCTTTGAATGATGCATAGCACATGTAAGTGGTTGACCTTGATTTGGAAGTCAAGGCACAGGCACCTATAGTGGTGTTTTCATTGAGCATGCTATTGAGAGGATCATCCAATGCAAAAATCTACCTCCTCTCCTATAATACTGGATTTTCCCTCTTACAGGCGATTCGGTGAGGGCTTTGATCTATAAAGCCTGCCTTTTCTTTCTTTTGTTTTTTTTGTTTGTTTGTTTGTTTGTTTTTTTGAGACAGGGTCTCCTTGTGTAGCCAAGACCTCCAACTTGTGATCCCCCTTGTTTCAGCCTCCTGAGTGCTGGGGTCACAGGTGTGCACCAACATGCCCAGCTTACAAACC